GAGAAGCAGGTTAGTGAATGGATCTGGTGTCCAAAACTTTCTCATAGTCCTAATATGTAACTGAGTGTTTGCTCTTGGTGCAAGGTCAGTTCTTGGATGTCTGGCTGCAAAATAGAATTAGGAAGAAGGAGTTGTAGTTCACATCTTTTCTTTTACTTTGTTATGTTACAGTTCTACTTCTTATCAATGCCTTGATTAATGCAGGTTTTATATATCTTGCAATCACCAGATCGGTGGTTCTGGTTGCTTCTCTAGCTCCTATTTGCGTGAAAATCCAACTGGTCTTAATAGTGGGAGAATACCTCTCAAAACTGTGGACATTGGTAAAGATTAAAGGTCAGAGAAGTCTTGCAACACATTAGATCTAGTCTGAACAGACTCACTTTCCAGAATTTCACATTTCCTCTGTTGTTTGTTTTAGGCCTGTGATAACACCCACACTTCCTTTTTTGGAGCAAATCTAAACTATRTCTTTCTTTGTAGCTGGTATATTTTAACCAAGACTTGCCCACTCAGTAAAAAAGTTCAGTTAAAAAGATTGCTTCCAATAATGTATATAGAACACTCCTGATACTGTATCTCAACATGAAATTTGCCTTTTTGCGGTGTGCTTCCTATTCTTAGAACTGCTCTTTATCTGAAAATCACTCTCTTTGGTTTTGGGTTTCCTCTTGCCTTTTAAGTGCACAGCCTTTTGCTCATTTCYAAGCCCACACCCACCTTCTAGACTACTCTTCTACTTTACCGAGGTCATTTTGTATTTCAATTTTGTGAATTTGCAAAAGGCTTTTATGTGAAATCCGTTGTAAAAAAAATTCCCTCTGAAAATGGCAGATGTAAAATAATGCCTATTATAATGAAGCAGAATTAATTTACTCAGCTAAACCAAGCACATCTGTCATCTTTAGCATCTAATCCTAATTGCRCTCTGTTTATCCAGTCCCTTCTTCCCTCTCCATTTATTGAGGGCTGCTATTTTGCATCTGGCTGTGGCAATGACCATGCTGTGTGTGCTGAGATCCTACTGCATTTTTGTGGTCATCTAAAACTTGAAATGTCATTAAAATGATGGCCAAAACATGGAATTTGCCTGCAGCCAGCCTTTAATCACCCTCTTAGGCACTACAGAGTTTCTTTAACTCCATTTACCCTGAGCCTAATAACAGAAAGTTGAAAAGTGCAAAACATCATTTGAGACTCTCTAGATTTTCTCTGTTGTTATTGAAACTGTGGCCTTGTAAACAGCAGCCCGTGAAAGAAAGAGAAAGCAAAGTGTGCCATGTTCCTTCATGTAAGTTGGCTTCAGGATGGTGGTGTTTGAAGCAAACCTGCTGTGGAAAGATGGGGTGCAAAGAGCAGCATCACCCAGCCTGGATCCTGGAAGGGAACCAGATGAAGTGATATTCATAGGCCACAGAGGAGCTTAGCATTTCCTGATACAGAGCAATCTGCCCCTCCACCAGCTGCAGTTTTTAGGAAAAGGTCTTTGRTGTGCCGTGACAGCAAACTGATGGCTCTGTGCCACAGCTGCATGAGCAGAGGATTTTAGGAAGCTGGCAGGACATTTCTTGGGTCAATATGTTGCTGTTTTCCAGGATGGATTAAAAAGCTCTTTGCTCTGTTCTTCATGTTTTGAATCACTCAAGTGAGACCCTGGCTGCTCAGAGCAACCTAGGGAAGATTCATTTTASGAGTTCCTCTTTACAACCTGTGAACAGCACTCTGTAGTCTTCTGTGCTTTTACTAGAGTGTCACTATTACTGCCATCAATTTATCAGCATGCTTTAAAATACTCTCTCCTCTTTTAGTTCCTGAATTTCAGCAGCAAAGGAAGAAAAAATCTCATTAGTTGTCTTTTTGGCAAAGTTGCTTAATATTGCCAAGGAATGTGACTGTAGTAAATTCAGAGAGGAATCTCCATGTGTTTGAATAATGCAACTCCCATCTGAAATACCTRCACTTGGTACCTGTTGGGGATAATTCTCTGTTAAGCTCATCCTGGAGGGTGGAGGACTGTACCCTCATACGTTCTTTTCTGCCTAATTGCTGTGGCAGGAATTACCCTTTTGCAGTTCTTAGATCTCTGGTCTGTAGCTATTTCTGATCATTTGAGAAGCTACTGAAGAATTTCAAGAGAACTTTCCATTAAAAAAAGGAAGCTAATTAGTTGTTTTCTTTCTCCTCTATCCATATGTAATAATTACAAAAATTAATTAATATTTTAAATAATTAGTTCATTATTTATTAATAATTAAATATTATTTAGAAATTATTTAGTAATTAATTTACATTAAGTAAAATAATTGTATTGCAGATTCTTTTGCAAAATGCATTCTATAACCTCACATTTGGCTGAGATTTTTGATACAATTTTTGAGTCAGAAAACTCCCCATAATATACAAGCAGGTCTCTTGATGTCACAAAAATAATAGAACAGGAATTCATGAATGATGGCAATAATATCTGCCAACACTGCTGCAGGTGCTTCAAAAAAAAGATTTATGAAAGTTTAAGCTCCTTTTTCCCTACAGCACTCCTGGTTGTCCAGCAGGGGCAGCACTGGCACAATTTAGCTAATCTGATGGTGAGCTCTTGCTGAAATACAGTTTTTCCCTGCCCCCAGACATGTTCCTGTTTCCTTTTTGTCAGAGGTGAGAGTCTCAGAGTGAATCCCATCTTGCTGATCCGATGGACTGCTCCTCCTGGGTGTGTAAGATGACTGGGTGCAATGGAAAGCGGCTTTGGGTGGAGACATTGGGTTCAGTCCTAGCAGCAGCTCTGAGACAAGATCAAGGATGGAGCTTCACATCCTGCATCATGTTCTTCCTTATCCTGCAGGTCCTTCAGTGCCTTTTGAACATCATAGGCTGTGGTCTTCCATCTGCCAGGAATTCCCTGTAGCACAGCCACTGTGATGTGGCAGCTCGGGAGGGATCATGCTGCCATGAACTGCAGCTTTCCTCTTCCTTTACACTWTACTAGTGCTGTGATCCTTGAAATAACCTTTTCAAAGATAAAATATAATACTCAGTTGTCAGGGAAAGAGGAACTGTGACCTTTTGTAGATAATCAGATCTCTTGTGTTAGGGTAGAGGAAACCAACTCTCAACCAAGTGGCAAGTGGTAGGGATTGTTAACTGCCTGTGCTGCTGCTCAGATGACAAGGGGCCTTCTTTTGGGTTAGAATGGCAGAGAGCAATTTCTTGTGATTCAGCAAAGTGATGCTTTCTCTATTGTATTGTTTGGCTTTAGGATATTCCTTGAGATGCAGGGAGGGCAGGTTTAAAATTAGGATGTATTTTCCCACCACCAACCCTTCCCTTTTGGCACTGCAAGAATATTTTATTGACTCTGTGCCAAAATTCATTAATACTCCTCCACAGTTCTTTGGAGCAAAATCCACTGATACAGAACCAGGTATTTATCTGTTATTATTTATAGCCTGATTCATTTMAGAGAGGTGCAGAAGAAGGTTTTCAGGAGCCAGAGAACCAACAAATGTCAAAGGAACAAGTGCTGCTGGCAAAAACTGCTGGACAGGGCCCCTCCACTGAGCTCTGAGAAACGTGTTCCTGTTTGTCCTGTAGGCAGCCAGCCAAAAACCAGCTGCTGAATACACAGCTGGTTCAACTCTCTCCCAGAGCAGGCACATAGAGGGCTACTCGAGCCCCAAACCTCCTTTCAGGCCATGTGGCAAGCTGAAACCATTAATTCTTTTGTGCAGCTGCTTTACAATACAAAAGGAACTTTATTATGGATTTTGCTCCATGCTAATAGAAAGACAGTTGAATTCCCTCAGGCAGTTTTTGGTATACTGAATGCATCACTGGTCTATAAAGGTAATTGATTATTTTAATATAGTATCACCTAATACATCAAGCAAGGAAAATACAGCTGGGTTTCAAATGCTAAGAAGCAGTTCATTTCCTAGATTATTTTAAGTTTCTCCAGTCATGCACTTTTAACAACATTTTCTCTACTTCAAAATCAATGCCATAGTCCAGTGGCAAAGACGGAAATGATTGCAACCGCTCACCCGTYTCCCTGGGCTTGCTTAGTCATTGCAGTGTCTAGCTGCTATGTCTGACCATAAAGAAAATGCTGATAGTAAGTTTAATTTATGAGATTGGGTTTGAAAAGCCTCTGTGATATTTTCTGGAGGTTAATACCAAGGCTACCATCCAAATTCATCCAGTTTCATCCAGTTCTGCTGCAAGGAATGTCTCCTTTTCAGGTTGCTGGCAAGTGAATGCTGGCACATGTGCCTGTGTCTCATCTCCRTTTCTGCRTGSTGGGAGCTCTCCTCAYCCACAGGCTCTCTTGCCTGCCATGSTTCAGYTCTTCCARTTCACAATCTTGCTCCTCAGCTCCAAAGTCRCTCTAGCAGTGGCTCAGCTGGAATGCTAGGCTTTCTCCTAGAGTGGCAAAAGTGCCAGTGGCAAAAAATGTGCTCTGTGGGGTAGCTGCTCTGTGGCTCTGACCAACAGGAGATGCAGCCCCTCTCTTACCTTGRACTGCACAGCAGTGACAAGGATTCCAGTCTTTCTTTCAAGGACCATAAAGCTGTACACAATGGTGGTCACAAAATCCTGGAAACTTCTGAAGCCTTTAATGACTAGCAGTGASAAAGGAAAAAGCCTCTATAATAGTAGGTATGATCACATATTTTTAAAAGAAAGGGGTTTTTTTTTTTGGTTTTGTTCTAACTTACCACTTAAAACTTACTGACCTTATGTTTGTAAAGRACAAAATGTCCTTCTGTATCAACAGCAGTGCTTACCAAGTGTATCTCCTTTATTTTATTTTTGTTAAAAGGAGGAAGCAAGTAGTTCTGAGGGATTAGATAATATTGATTTTTTTCCTTTTTATTCATCTATAGATAAATATTTAATGATGACAGTTTTCTTTAAGTTGTATCTGAGGATGTTGGATGTATTTCTGAAGTTTTGCAGGAGTTTCACTGCTATTACAACAYGAATCTTTAATTCTCTGTTTACAGCAAGTGCTGATTTCCCATACAATGGTCAAGCTATAGGAGATGGAGTTAACAGAAACTCAGCTATTATTGGAGGTAAGAAAACTGTCTGCTTTTCCAAGMTACTTTGCACTATAACTCTGATGGCTGAATTGCAGTTGGTGGCAAGTACATATGTTTCCATAACCAGATTTAGATTAGTTGCTTTAGTTTTGATTTCCTGAGTTATTTTTCCTTTCTAATTTATCTTTTTATTATTACTYATAACTTTTCCTTAATGATTTGAAATGTTACAATACTAGAACCACATCACATTCCTCAGGAAAATTTAGGCCATGCCTGAACAGCCTGTCTTCCCAACTCATCAGTTTAAATAAAGTGGCATAACATAACTCTGGCTGATTAYAAGATTTTTTAACCTGAAAGTTTTACAACAACTTCATCCTGGAAAATTCTTATCCCTGTAGAGAAGGGCCCTGACTGGAACAGTGGTGTTTTATCACACAGATACCTATGCCTAAGAGAATAACATTCATGAGACTTCTCTGTAACAGGGTTGAACCCAAAATAAACCATTGCAGGAAAGCAATTAAGGCTAGAACTGATGATAAAGCAGTTACATTTGCAATTATGTGGAGCCAGTGCCTGTGGCGTGAGCCAACAGTGAGCCACGCCAATTTTCAGGGACATGTAGAGGAGCTATGATAGGTGTTTACAGCTGACCAGAAAGTGAACATCAGAGATTCCACCTTCAGAGAGGTGCCCAGGCCRTGACACATCACCAGTACACCCCACTGTTCTAGGAGAGCTCAGCACCATGGTCAGCAAAGCTCAGGCCTGTAAGTAGGTATTAACGTTGAAGTTTTTACCTACGGGATGAAAGTCACCAGCAGACTTCATGGAGCTGCATTTTGTATGTAATGAGAACATACATAAATACGAGAGTAGTAGAAACTGGTGATGCCCAACTGCCCAAGCAGCTTCAGCTCAGCTCCAAGGAGTATCGTGATCCTTTCCTTGTGTTAAAATCTGCAGCCGGTCTCACCGGGGGCATCTTTTCTCTCCTCCTGTGTTGTAGGCGTCATCGCAGTGGTGATCTTCACCATTCTCTGCACCTTGGTGTTCCTGATCCGCTACATGTTCCGCCACAAGGGAACCTACCACACCAACGAGGCCAAAGGGGCAGAGTCCGCCGAGAGCGCCGACGCCGCCATCATGAACAATGACCCCAACTTCACGGAGACCATAGACGAAAGCAAGAAGGAATGGCTTATCTAAGCCCACGGGGATGGGGCCTGGGGTGGGGTATGAGCTGGGCCAAGGTGGGACTGGGATGACTCTTGCAGTGGAGAGAGAACACTCTGTGTCGGACACTTGAGCACACATAGGATAAAAAGATCAGCACAACTGGAGGAGCAAGTGACAGGAAAACACCACTGAGACTGGAGAAAAAAAAATCTCAAGCATTTAAGAAAAAAATACTTTTTAATATTTATTTACAGCAAATTGCCCCTTCTGTATCCCAACAACTACAACAAAGAGCAGTTTTGCAGCTTCAGCATTGGTTACAATTTTTAGTAATACCTGTCTATTTCTGTGTGTGTTTAGAGATGTTCTGGATACCTGTGACAAGAAACAGGGCTGGTTTTTTACATTTTTTAAAAGCTGTTTAAAATGTGGGTGGTTCTGTCCTGAGAACAAGTGGCAGCCCCTTCTTCCCAACATCAGCCACTTCCCCTCAAGCTGCYCTCAGCCTCTCACCTTGACCACTTCACCGCTTGTTTTGGTGGCGTTGATCCAGGGCTTCGGGGCTGGGGGTGGGACAGCRGGGTGAGGATGCAAATCTTACTCACCAGTTTCTCAACATCTCATCAGCCCATGTCAGTCCTGGCAGGATCCACCTTGACCCAGGCATTCAYTGATTGTGTGCAATTCTCATTAACAATGTAAAAATGCTGTTATTATGATGACTACTACTACTACTCAAGAGGATTATCATAAAGCACAGGAGGCTTTAAAAGTTTTTTGTATTATTTTGTTGGTCTCCAAGGGAGAACGATGCTGTGTGAGTCTGTGGACCTAGTCTGTTCCTGTGTCTTTGTCTATGGCACTGGTGACCTGAGGCACGTGCCGGGTTAAACCCAGCTCTGCCTGTGGCAGATTGGCATATACTGTACATTGTAGTAGGGAATTAGACCCAGACTTTGTTTGTTTCTCTTTCTTCTTAAAAGACTGTCATAGAAATATTAGTACAGCTTTAGTCAATGCATTTGAACCCACAGGCTTCACATCCTACTTTTTTTTTAAATCTTGGGAGTAGAAATTTATTCCTTAAACCCCTTGTTTCAGTTCCTTTGCAAGGAAAGCCTCTGCCGGCAGTGTTTGCACTGTCAGGAAGGTGAGGCAAAGGAGGCTTGAAAACTCTGCCTCCAGAGCATGTGAGAAACACACAGCATACAGGGGAGGGTTGCTTTTCAATACAGAGATATACCTGAACTATTTTACTGTCTTTGTAAGGTATTTTTAAGAATAGCAAGGCCAATACCAAGTAAAGCWTTGCATCTCATTTTTCCTCTCAAATCAGGAAAGTCATAGGTGTCTCCTGAACAGGAGGCAGGCAGCGGGTAGGAAAGACAAAGGGGCAGCCTGAAGACCCAATATCCTTTGGTGGCAATAACAAAGCTTTAGCTTGCCCACTGTAGAGAAACATGGTTCTCTCATGGTCTGAACTGATAGGAATTTAAGGCCTTAATGGACAGGTTTTGCAGTGGAACAGAATGAAGGAATGAATATACTGCAGAGCTTTGCCATGTGCTGAAAGAACAGAAACAATAAGAAGAATTTCCCTTTAAAAGTATTTAAAGTGCTGGCATTTTTAATTTCCCTATTTCTTTGGTTGCAACTTTCACTGTTCTAATTGACACTTTAAATATTTTTTTTAAATCATCTAGGGGGAAGAAATATTGGAGTCTTACCAGACAAGAAATCGATAAGCACAATTTGTCAGAAAAAACATGGCAAGATAGTTTGGGTTTTAAGTATAGTAGCCTAAAGTCCAGTTCTGGAGTCATTGAACATGTATAACAGAGCAAAGCAAGCCCATTAATTTCTTCTGTTTATGGATTTGAAATTAGCAGACAAAAAAGTTGCCAGTTTCAAAAGAAATTATTGCTTCTCAGGTAACATGTGTGGCAGAGAGGTTCAGGTAGGCATAATTACCTCTGTCACTCTTGTGCTCTGCAGTCTTTTGCCTTGCCTCCAGTATTAACCTCTCCTTCTCTTGTCTGTAATCAAGCAGATGAGTCCTGGGTTTAATCATGGATGTAAAATAAGTCTTCGCTCCTTGGAGAATATAAGCAGGGGATGGATCTACCCTGCACCACCATTCAGCAAACTACATAGAAATCACAGATGTCTCTGTAGGATTGAAAAGGCATTATCTTTTCTATATTATTTTATATTTCATTTTATTTTAATGGTGTTTTAGTCCACTCTGAAAAACATCCTTGCCTCCGACTTCAAGTTGCCAAGATAAGTGAATAGAGCATAATTTGCATAGGTTGGGGTTTGATTTGCAGAAGTAAGTTRCCAATCTGAATTTAATGTCTGTGGAGAAGATCAGAGCTTACATATCCTGGGAGACTAGAGTCCTCTGCCATCTTWTGTGGGAAACACAGATTTAACAGCCATACTGCAAACTGCCAAATGCCTCAACACGGCATTAGAAGGGAAAGATGGTTTGGCCTCCATGTCTAAMCAAGTCCTTGGCAAACTGAGGGACAGTTGTTCCTGGGTTATGGTAGTGAGGCCTGTGACATTTATTCACTGATTTTCTGAAAGAATCTCCCACAACCCTGTAAGCAAGAACTTCTGGAAAATAACCTTTGACCATTGTACAAGCAATAGTTACAAATTACTATCTTAAATTTGAAAACCAGGGTTTAAATTTCTGAAATCAAGTCATGAGCATCTGCGCCTCTCCCTTGACTGGGCACTGTGGACCTTTTTATGTAAAATACATTAGTGCTATGATAAAATGCAGTCACTCTCATAACTCTAGAAACCTTTAATTACTAGAATTCTCGTTTCTCCTTAAACTGGACCTTGGACACGATATTATTGATGACAGTGCCCCTGTACAGGCATTTAGTGACTTTGGGTGAATTCCTGCCTGTCTGCTTTGTATTTAATTTCTGAGAATGGTGTTTGTTTAATTATAGGCAGTGGTCATTCAACAGCCTGGCAGGAAAGCAGGAACAGGCTCAGAAACATAGCCTGYGTGTTTTGCTAGCACTGTATCTATTCTGAGGATTTCTTCCTCTGCAAGCCTATCATTGAAGGCTGAAACAACATCCATACTTTATTCCACCCCCTCTTACTTGTGCCAAAAATCCATGTTGTTTAACAGGCATGTGGGAAAATCCATTGCAGGGGAGAGTGGATCCTGCTTTTATAAAACTCTGTACTTTCCCCAAAGAATATTAAAATAATCGGTCTTTTGTCACCTGCTTGTTAGCTGTTTCACCTGYTCGAACTGTGCAGAAAAATGTAGCTTCTTGTACTGGTTTGGGAACCAAAGTGTCCCAGTTGTGTTTCTAAAGGGTCATTCYTGATACTGCAGGAAGTGAGGGCAAAACTGCCACCAGCAGTGGGGAGAGCAAGACTGGGCTGGAGATCGGGCTCTCAGTTTTAGTGAAATAATGAAAGCAATATTTTGGATTCTCATTCACAAGACATGCAGACCACCAGGTAATGAGACATGGAGCTCCAAAGAGACAAAACACTAGAAAACTTATTTTGATGTCAACCCAGCCTCTAGGGAAATCTGCAGTCCAGTCTGGTGGTTTTGAGTCAGGTCTTACACACACAGCTTATTCCGTATTTACTGATAGAAAATMCAGATGTATTAAATAGGAATATGTATCTTGAACTCGTACTGGAGGATTTCTGCTTTGTATTTTTTGTGTCTTAAACTTTATCTGTATCTTTTATATCTCTTCTAGCAGTTACCACTTCAAAGGTTGGCAGCATTTTAGTGTCATGCTCTAGGCAGCATGATATATGTAAAAGAATGATCATCATAAATATTTTAGTAAGACTGCCGAAGCAGTGGTGTATATGTACAAGTTTATTGTACTGATAAGAACTCATTTTAACTAAAACAATGTCCTTTAATGGCAGATGAATCCAATTTCCAGGGTATCTGTTGAAATGTGAAGCTATCTATGTTCGACAAGCAATAGCTTTTAATATGGTTTCTCCCATGAATGATTTTGCATTCTATCAAGCATGATGATCCTGCAAGGGTGTCATTTTTGAAAAGCAAAACCTAAATTCTGTTAATCAGATGTCATTATCCATCCTAGAGGAATTAAACAAAAACCTTGCCTTCTAACAGCAACAGCATGCAAATTAGAATGAATGAAGGGCAATGTGTTTGTGTGCATAAATACCTTCTGCGAATGTCTTTCCTTTTAACTAAAGTTCT